ACCTGGTTAGTGTTTACAAGGATAGTTTAAATTCCACAACCAAATAGCTGCTTTCCTTTGCCAGCTCCCCAGGTGCTCATCCTTAGGGAGGAAATGCTGCAATTTTGAAGCAGTTGTACTTTAAGAAAACTCCAGACCAATAACAACAATGGGGAGGTGGAAATCTGTGCTTAGAATGACCAAACTTAATCTCATCTGGTTTATTGTCTTCTTTTTCCTTTCCCTAGTTACTGAGTCGGAAGGATAAAGCCACATTTGACAAGTTGGAGTATGTTATGAGTAAAGAAGATAATTACAAAAGGCTTAGAGACTATATCAGCAGCTTGAAGATGACTCCTTGTATTCCCTACCTAGGTAAGTGAAGCATATTTCTCCAATAGTTACCCAAACTAAACACCATCTTTTAGGCATTCATGAATCTGCTTCAATACCTCAGTAAAGAATCTATAACCTGATTCTGGATACTCTGTAAGTGGCAAGACAGAACTTGAGAAAGAAAATACCTATTAAACCTCACAAACAGTTCAGGTTTTACATACAAACACTTAAGGTTTTACAAACAGTGTCAGTTTTCTAGGGAATGGTTTTCCCATGTGCTGTCCACATACACTGATGGACTGGAGAAGTACTTAAATTGTTGTGCCTTCAAGTGCTCCTACAGCTGAATATTTGCCTGTACAGTAATGATGGCTTTTAATTTATGAGAAGCTATATATCACCAGGCTCTGAGATAAACAAACTTAGATCTTGAGGTTTGGAACACGCAAAAATCCGGAGATATTGCTGCAGTTAATCACACCAAGGTGACAGGAGAAACTGGGTTGTTATGACTGAGCTTTATGGAATAATTATTAGTAACTGATATTCCTGTGGAGCTAAAAACTAGATAAATGTGTTTAATATGTATTGGTTTTGTTGCCAAGCTAATCTAATGTTGCTAAACTGAGACACTGAGGTGAACAGTGTGTTTTTGTCTAATGTAGCTTTGGTTTGGTACCAGAAGATGTTGGTAGTCACATAAAATCAAGGAAATGAGTATGCAGTTTTTGGTGGTTTTGCAGATAGGAGTTGCTGTTACACCTGAATTCAGGGTGATGTCCTGTGGTCACCGAGGCCTCTTAAACTGTAATCTCTTTGTCCCTGAAGTGTGAGACTTCCTTTACTCAGCTGGGCTCTTTTTCAAGGTTAATTGGGTGAATTTTACATGCTTTTTACTTAAACAGGAAAAAACCCACTTTGCTGTGGGGAATCAGTAGTAATTTTAGTGTCTTATACTGTTCCTCATTTGAGGTCTGAATTAAAAGGGGCAAAAAAAAAAAGCCCCTTGAAGCAAAATATATGTTTTTTATATTTACAAAGAAAGAAATGCTCTTTGCTGTGACCTGCTGGAGTTAAGAGATGTGTTGTGACCTGGTTTCATGTGGGATCAGTTCTTGCTAGTGACATGAAGAATGTCCTTGAGCCTTTTTCAAAGGAATAGCAAATGCTGACTGGTGCTCTCCCTCTAGCCTTAATTTTGTAGGGTTTAAATAAGAGCAAAATTGCCTTGAAACCGGAGTCAGGATAAGTCTGGATCTGGTACCAATCTTGGAAGATTGACAGTTGAGTCCAAGTGTTCTCATTTGACCAAAGCTTTTATCTCCAGTAAGACCTGAGTAGATTTGTTACTTCTGAGATTTCCTTCCCAAGGCATTTTTGCCATGTTAACTGGGGGGGGGGAATAAAAATGGTCCTCAGTTTCTTGCAGCCATAAGCGTGATGTGATTGCAGATTCTAGCAATGCTGGTGAGGGCAGCACATCTCAGTGTGGACTCACTGGTTTAGCTGTGAGTGCAGAAAGCTATGCAAGACTGACAAGATGTTCAGTATTAGGTCCTTGTTACACAACACTATGTGTCACCAGTGTGGCATCACCAGTCCAACTAAAGCAGCCAGAGCAAGCAGGAGCTGTGTGCATGGTGTTCTGTTTCACCTGAGAATAAAACCTCCTTCTCCAAGGGAGTCTTATCCCAGAGCTCTGCAAACTTGAGGTCACACAATGAAACAACTGAGACATGTCTTGAGAGGTAAGATTTTTATTTAACTAAGCAGTACTACCTTGTGAAACACTTCCTTACAGCTGCCTTTGAGGAGTTATATCCAGCAACAGCAAAGCTGAAAACAGGTTATTGAAGTACTCATCTGAGGAGCATTCAGCTATTGCAGTGACAGTCTTGCAGCAGATTTTGGAAAGAGGTGTGAAAACCATGTTAAGTTGAACTTTGTTGAGGTGTGCCTGGTTACATTTGGACTGGTGGTTCAGGAGTGGTGGAGGCTCTGTCCTTCACAGCCAGACTGCTGCAGGATCATAGAATCATAGAATTTAGGGGTTGAAATGGACCTTAGAAATCACCCAGCCCCAACCCCTGCCCTGGGCAGAGACACCTCCTCACTAGATCAGGTTGCTCAAGGCTCAACCAACCTTTGAACACTGCCAGGGTTGGAGCAGCCACAGCAACCTGGGAGTGTCTCACCACCCTCACAGGGAAAAACATTTTTCTCACATGCATCTTTGTGTCCAGGACAAGAAGCTTGAGGGATGCTACAACCTTTTTTGAACATCTTTTCTGAGCCAAGTTTGACAGAAAACATAGAATTTTTAAGGTCATTCATTCACCCTACCTGGGAAATTCAGCCCAAAAGCTACGAACTGATAGTTAAAAGCATTTGAAAGTGGATTATTGTACAGAGTATGAAGTAGCCTGAAAAGAGATGCTCTACTTTCCTTCCTCACGATCTTAAATTGGCAACTTAATTAAGCCTTTCCTTGCAGAGCACATTTGTACAGGCCAAGCTTTCTGGCTGTGTTTGTAATGCTGTTTAGTTCATGTTGTCCTGCAGCTTTCAGCTGGGGAATAATCACTTTTTAGATGTCTAATATATAAGCTTTAATTAAAAGGCTGAGTGCAAGCTAATTTTACTTTGGGGTTTCTGCAAAGTACACCTTTCACTGGCTGCACTGAATAAACAACCACTGTTTTTGTAGCAGGCAAGAGATTCTTGGGGTGAAACACGCTCTGTGCCAAGGGGAGGAAATCTGTCGGCTCAGTGACCTAAAGCTGTCAGAAGTGTTCATTAAAGGAATGTTTTGGAGGGTATTTTCAGCTTTTGAGTTTACCTGAACTGCTCTTCAATCCAACTGCCATAGGAAAAAAGGACAGACCACAGAGTTCTGAGCATCTGCAGTTAAAAAACATTTTACAGGACACTCAGTCAATGAGCTCTGTGGGATGTTGTAACAAACAAATAGTCCTTAGATGAAGAACCATTTCAGAATTGTAATCCTCAACATTTGTGCCAGCTAAAATGCTTGGAATTTTTGAATGGAATATGCTGGGACTGATTTCCCCACTGCCACCAACCCCAATTAAACATTGGTGAAACTTGTTGGCTTTGATGTCTGACCAAAGATTTAACTACAACCTTTGCAGCTCTGTATTATCAATGAAGCTTTATCTACCCCAGGGAGGATGTTTGGAAAGCAGAATCCTCTTTTCTCTCCTCTGAATTACACAGAGAGGCTTTGCACAACCTTTGACATTGACTGATTGAACATAACAATAATATTAGATTATTCTTTCAGCTATTAGGGTTTCCTGTGTGAAATAGTTGGCAAAACTCCTTAAAATCCTGAAGGCACATCTGAGGTGCCAAACAAATACATTGGTCACAGTTCAGAACAGCATATTTATCTATGTAACATAAAATTAAATTAGCAACCTGTGTGGCTGGGGACAGTTATTCAGTGTTTTTATATGCTAGGAAAAGGTTTGGTTTAAGGCTCTGGTACCTGAAGTGAACCTCTTGTTGTATCTGATGCTGGAAGCATCTTGTTTTGCTGCAGTGTGTTGTGTAGCTTTAGTGAAATTGCATAGCAATTCCAGTGGAAATCTGATCTCTAGGAGATAATATGTGGTACAGATAATATCAGGAGCTGTATACACATAGTGGAAGGGAAATGTGTGTCCCCTAACCAAGTCTGGGATGGCAGGGAGAGCACACTCAGAGCTGATTTCCAACTGCTGTTTTGCTGTGGTGGAGGAAAACTGATGTTCAGACTTGGTGCTGCTCTAAATCAGTATGAGTGAGCACTTGGTCAGTTCTCATCACTATGAGTGGGGCAGGGCAGGGGCTCCAAGTGTCAGTCATGGTTTTAATGCCAGGACTCTCATTTTTGCCATTCAAGTTCCAAGTATGTAGAGATACTTTTGTTCAGTTTGAAGGTCTTATTACAGAGGTTGAAAGTAAAACAAGTACCGAGCAATTTGGTTGTCTGAAATTTATCAATACTCTCACACCATTAATTTTCTTCCATTAGGAACACTTTGCCTAAGTGTTTTACAGAAGGAAGGACTCACAGATCTTAGCATAGGGAATTCCTTAAGGAATTGTATGGTTTATGTTTCATTTGCCACCTCATTTTGAAATAATCATTTGTTGCAAAAATCTCTCTCTGCTGGCAAAGCTAAAATGTCTCCACTTCGTTGTGTAGCTTCTCAAAGAGTCGTGTGTAGTCAGATTTGTCCTTGAAAGTAATACCAACATTTTTAAATAAATTGTTAAATAACTAATCCATTTTCACATTAAAGCAAGACATAGTCATTTCACATATTTACATGTAAGGCTTGAGCTAACCTGGAAAAGCATAAGCTTTCAGAAGAGGAAAAGCTTATATCTTGTCATAGATCTGGAATTTTTTACCAGCTTTAACGACTGTTTCCATAAAGTATGTTGGTCTTGACCAGAAGATAAACATGCTTTGCAAGCACAAACATCTGCTTTTATGAATGTGTGTCTGAAAAAGCACTGTCACAGGAGAGAAGGGCTCTAAAAAGGGAGAGGGTAACACAACAGGGAAAAGAAGACAGGAAAACTGTTAGACCTGCTTTGGGCAGGGGCAGATTGTGCAAAATAATGAGTAACAAGGAATACTTTATTTTTCTGGCACTCAAGCACTGAGAAGTTTACACAAGATCACTTGAGCACTGTGGGGGTTTCCTCCTCAGTCTATAGGTCTAATCATCATCTGAACTGCTTTCAGGGAGTAGGAACCTCCTCGGTACTCGGCCCAGAATATTCCGTCCTGGTACTTGCTGCGGTAGTGACCTCCTCGGTACCACACCCCGTTGAGGTTGGAGTGGGCACACGCGTTGTACCACCAGCCACCTTTGTGGAAGTGAGCACAGTTTCCTGTGGAACAGAGGGAAATCGGTCAGCTTCAGCTTTAGGGAGGAGAAACAGATTACCACATGCTTTCGTATCGTGGCTTGTTCTCAGAGGGAATTTGGAAGCACTTCGTAGCCTGTTGTGGTCACATCAGTTGCTGCTTCTACTCAGGTTCCTGTTGGAACAGCAGCCATGGCTGGAGGGGAAATTATTGACATGGCATTTTATGTGACAGCTGAAAACTAAGGAGATATCTCTTCTCAGCCTACCAGCATTGCTTCTCCATGAGCTAACACCCAAGGAACTCGGACTATGTGCTGTTTAGAAATACTTGAGCGGAAGCAATGTGAATTGATAGAGCCCCAAGCAGCACACAGGGCCACAGTTCCACAAAGAGCTGCTTGTAACTTGGGTATTTACTGTTGCAGGCTTGTTCAAGGGTTTGCAGGATTTGTCCACGTTTATGGATATTGACAGCTGAGCAAAACCAGTTCAAGTATTACAGTCTCCTATGTTTCTTTTGCTGTTAATAAGGGGAAAGCTGGAGGAAATGAAGAAGTGCTTTAAGGAGAACAAACCCAAGTGATCTGCCCCTTTCTCAAGTGTGGGTACATAATTAAGCCTCTGCACATGTGCAGTTCCTTTCATGCTGTTGGAGGCTTTAGTTGCTGGTGGTTATTGCTGCACTGCTCGGAGATCAGTGGGACAGGTGCCCTGAGTGCAGAGTCACATGCAGTGATCAGGATGTCACTGAGCTAAACAAAGTTGCTGAAGTGTGCTGTCAGTGAGGGTGATGGGATGGGAATTTCTGGGCTTGGAGGGGCCCTGCCAAAGTGATTTTCATCACCATTCACGTGAAGCAGCTTTCAGAACGTTGTTCTCTCAGAACTTACAACCGTTTTTGTGCTATACTCTGGTTTCAAAGGTGGTATAACTAACAGGATACACATTACTCCCTTCTCACAGCCATAGCAGTTTCCTTACCTGAATACATGTCCCTGTCTCTGTCCAGTGTTGTGAATTGCTTGCCATTGTGCCAGATCATGGAGTCTCCCGCGTTCCCTTGGTACGTGCCCAGGCGCAGTCTGTAGAACTCGCTCTCGGGCTCCAGGCGGAAGCTGCTGTACTCTGCATAGACCTTCTTGTTGCTCCAGTCCTCCAGCTCAATCAATAGTCTGTAATTGTCCTGATTGGTGAGCATGTAGATATTTTCCAGTCCCAGCCAGTACTCTCCATCAATGTTCCCAAATCCTTTCTGTAGGACAGAAGATCAGAGGGTGATGTTAGTTTAGTTTCCCTTGAGAATGCTCAGCAGCAGGACTATTCTAACCAGTGGCACCTGGGGACCAACAGCCCCTGAGCTGCTGCATGAGTGCTCAACCCAAGCAGTGAAGTACTTATTTTGCTGCTCTTGAGCTGCATGAGATGCTACAAGAATCACTAAAGGTGTGTGCTGTGCTGTCCTCTCCTTTTCAGATAAAAGGAGTGAGAATAGGAAAGCTGAGACAATGTATTACCTGACAAAGCTAAAGGGATCTGTAATAATGGATGAATAATGGAATTCTAGGGGTTTATTTCCAGGTTTAAGAAAGTATTTATGTATCAGCTGTCTCAGTGTTCAAGGCAAATTACTTTTTGTTGCCTTCATATCCCAGCTAGTGTTGGATTTTACTGTATATTTGCTCACACAATTCATCTGTGCTCTTTACTGAATGTATTGGAAATGAGATATAAAGGCATCTTTCCTCTCAAATCCCAGACAGCATGGCAGCTGTGAAGTGATGCTTCTCTCTGCTGCCTCCTCTCCCCACATACACCAGTGTTAATGTTTGGTGTTGCAGCTGGGGCAGGTACATCACCACCACAGCTATCTCTTATGCTTCCTTGTATCTGAGGTCTTCCTACCCTCCTTCACTTTATGCAAGACCTGCGGTTGATTTCCTGCTTCAAATCCCTTGCTGGGTCAGTCTTTCTCCAACAGTTGGACTGTTGAGTCTCCTAACTTAGGCTGCAGTTTCACAGCTGGCCTAAGCTGATGGAGCATCACACTGCTGCCAAAAATGGTAGCAGTGCCTTTCTGCTGGCTCTGGGCCACGTTTGCAGTGCTTGCCCTGCAGCACTGCTGGAGCTGTGCAGCCACACAGGGATCAGGAAAGAGGTGGAAATGTGGGCACAGGAAACAGCTCTGGTGTCAGCTCCTCACAGGGGCTGCACCTTCAGGGACCTGGTGTCAGCTAATGGGAATAACATCCTCAGCCACTGACAGATCCGAGGGCAAATTTGCCTGAACTTGAGCTATTTATAGACATCAGTTATGCACTTCTACATTTTCTTTGCATTCTGTTCAAAATGTTTGTGGTGATATATAAGGCACTCCATAACTGTCTTGTAACACTGAACAACTCCAAGCACATGCTCTTCTGAGAAGTAAAGATGTTGAGTAACTATTGATTTACTGATTAGTTATTGATAGATTTATTGCTAAATTTAGTTATTGGATAATTTATTGATTTGTTGATTTCTGTTTGAATGATTACATTCCAATAATTCAAGAAGCTAAAATCTTCATGCTAATTTTTTGCCATTTCCTGCATATATATGACACCATTTGTAGACCACTGAGCTAAATGTGGCTCAGTTCTCCCTACAAATACATGTGGCAGTTGTAGATCCATGTAGAGTGAGCACAACATCACAGGGACAAACTGTGTCCTATAGTATGAAGTCAGCACATTGTTATCATTTTTAAAAACCCAACCAAATGGATTTTCAGCTTTCCTGTGTAGTATGTAATTACTCCAGAGCAGCATCCATTTGTCATCCTAGACACTCTGTTTGCTGGTGCATATCCCAGTAACACCCAGGAGTGTTTCCCTTCCCCAGCCTGACATTGTCAGACTTCTAACCTAAATTTGCAGGTAGAAATTATTTCCTTTAATTTGTTCTTAGGAATCTTTTGAAAGTTGAGCCCCTGAGCCTGCAAATCTGTTAATGTCTTTAAATGAATAATTCCACTGGCTGAGTTTGCTTATTCCTAAAGGAGACAATTAAGCTTTACAAGTACTTACTGCAGTTCTCAGTGTTAATAAAAATCATGTGTTTAGTCAGAGCTTTGTAATAAATGACTTCCCAGTCCCTGTCCACAATAACCTGTGTCTCTCAGATGTGTTGTGCATCACAAACATAGGTTATTTCAAACAACAGCTGGGATCTGTGGGTTAACTATGCCCTGAGGGAAATGGTACATTTGCCTCTGAGGGATTGAAAAGGACTCTTCAGTTACTCTCCTTTACTCACTGATTTTCTGCGTTCTAGAATTTACCTTATAACTGTCCCAGTTCCTGAAAAAATTGACAGATCCATCCGTCCTCTTCTGGATGACTGCCCATCCTCCAGGGTCCAGGCTGTGGTCACACCAGAGCTGCATTGGCTCGTTGCTGTGCTCAGGTTTGATCATGTAAATCCCACTGTTGGAATGCCCAGCTTCCTTGGCTTGCTGGCAGTCTTTGAATGGACCTTTGGGAAAAGAAAGACTCTAAGCATTCCAGCCTGACTGCACAGTGCTCATTGTTCAGGAGCAGTTTGCAATGGAAAGTCAGTAATTCAGTTAAGGTGTGAAGCTTCCATGGAAAACAGCTCCTGTCTGAGATGAACTGTGTGTGTATAAATAAACACATCAGTATCCTCTCTTTATATACTTTTGAGCAAAACCTGTCACTTTGCTAAACAAATAGATTTTGGTTACCCAGACATCATTTTTTGTCTGCCCTGTTAAAGACTCACACTCTGGATACTGAAGCACATAGGGTTGGACTCAGTGATCTCTGAGGTCTCTTCCAGCCTGATTGATTCTATGAGTCTATGATTTTCTCCTTTTTTACGAAGGCAGAAATCAATTTGCTTCATTATCCTGGTGCACCAGTTGGAAACTAGTGGAATTTAAAACCAAACCCCTCTAACATGTGAATACATAAGTAGTTTGAGACATGCTGTAAGAAATATTTACTGCCAGAGCCTACAGACTTGGAATTGAGTCCAAGAGAATTCTTAGGCTGTGTAATTTGTTGCCTTTGTGTACTTAACCTGGGATCACCTGATAACTGTGGGTAGGAATCTTGAAGTTTCATGTGTCATCCTGGTGTGATAGGTGTAGATGGATACTGGTGAAGAAAATAAGCTATGGAGGATTTTTGAGCAGCTGGAAGGGCTCATAAAGTTGTTTTCAGGGCTGTGGTTCTACAAAAATGCTGTTGCTGTTGTCAGTGCTGCTTGAAAGCTCTATGTGAGTCCGTGTGAATTGGGGTGTTACAAATACAGCTTAGAGAAGAGCATCTGGTCCTCTGTAAGGATGCAGCTTACATATCTCTGAAAACTTTGCCTAGTTTGCCTTTCATTTTTTGGTAGTTTTGGTTTAGAGGCACTGGTTGTTCCCTAGTGAAAGGCAAGGTGTGTTCTCATGACTAGTTAACATTGGGTGCCCCCAGTGTGTCTGACTCTTCAGAACATCTGAAAAGGAATTTAGCTACAGCTTTCCTCTCCTCCTAGAAGCCTCATTTTCTCTGATCTCCGTGGAAGCTCAAAGAGGCCTCATCAGTCACAGAAAGAGCTCATGTGCAAAGAAGCACAGAAGACACTTGGTGAGGTTATTCTTGAGTCAGAAGCAGAGGTGGAGGGTGAGTGACCTTCCCTGCAGGTTAAGGTTGTGTGACAAAGCTAGGCAAAAATCACTTCTCTTAGGTTTTGAGGTAGTAGCTGCCAGTTGGACAAGGATGTAATGAGCAAGAAATCCACACAGCATTTCATATTAATGAGAGAGCATAAAGCTAATAATAATAAGTCCAGTGAAGAGTGCTCAGAGCTTCTAGTTGTGACAGTGCTGCCAGGAGTGTCACAGCCACTGAGCCATGGGTGCAGGTACTGCTGCACTGTCAGCATTTGTGATGGGTTTGTCATTCTGCCAGCGCCAGCAGCAGCAGCTTAGGAAGGAAATCCTCTAGCTTTGGTATATGAGTGCTTTTCCTCTTGTCCAGAACTAACATTTCCAAGTAGATTGTGCATATCGCATAGTTTGTCCAGTGCAGAGAGAATTTCCTGGGCTAAGTGGGACTCACTCCCTTTCCTTGACCTGTCCTAAGGAAATTTGGGCACTCTATAAGTGAACAGGCTTGTTGGTCATAGAATTTTAGGGGTTGGGATGGAGCTTAAAGATCATCCAGCCCCAACCCCTGCCCTGGGCAGGGACACCTCCCACCAGAGCAGGTGCTCAAGGCTCATCCAACCTGGCTGTGAACACTGCCAGGGCTGGGGCTTATTTTTTATAATGCTAATTGAACATTAAGAATAGCTCAGTTGGATCTGCTGGGTAATTATCTCACATTATTTCTTCTACCAGTGGAGAAATTGAGAACTCATTTTTCCCTGAGAGACCCAAGCAGCTCTTTGGGCTGGTTTTAAGTAGTTTTTAAAGCAGAGAGAATGGTACCAGTTTGTTTGTGTAATACTCTTGGGAAATTCAGCAGCACTAAGGTCACAGTATGCAACGTGTCTGGTTTCTGATGCTCAGGTTTGTCTGGTGCTTATCATAAGTTCATGTTGTGGTAGAGGTGACAGATTTATACTCTTAGTCTAGAGAAATCCAATACATCTCATCATTTTTGGTGTATAGCCTTGAATCTTTTTGGAGAAGTAAATTCTTTGTTATGTATAGCTATTTCAAGTTCACAGTGTAAGAACTGATCTTTTCAGTGGAAATACTGAGATTTGTGAGGCAGTGTAAGATGCTTCACAGAACTAGTGTGAGTGTAAGTTCTGACCGGTGAAAAAAGCTTATTCTCTGTTTCAAATCTCAGCTAGGTAAGGAGTATAAGTATCTTGTGCACATCTAGTCTTTTGTAACAGTCTGTGTACACCAAGTGGCTGAGACCGAAATACTCTGAGATGATCTGTTAACTATTTCACTCTAAAATTGTGGGTGAGATGCAGGATTTAGTGCAGGTCATATTCTGTTGTAAATTAAACACATAAGACAAGGAAGGAGATTACATATTTTAAATTGGAAGCTGAATCACTTGATGGCTGAATCCCATGTCAAGCTGCCAAAGGTTATCTGGAGCAGATGATGTAGAAGCTTTGCTTGTGTAAGCTTCATAGAGAGGATTTCTGGGGGCAACAGCAGTGCAAGAATGTAAAACAAAATTGGACATGTATTACAAGCAAGTTAGATTTTAGGTATGAGCAGCAGAGGGAGGGGGAGGGGGTGTAATTTTCAAGTGCTTGCTTAATTTGAAGCTACTTTTTGCAACAAGAGTGGCAGTAAATTTTGGGGACACTGGTTATTATTATTCCAAGTATTAAGCTAATTGAGACAAGTGTAATTCACAGGAACATTATCCTTCCTCGATTTTTAGAGCAATTTTCATGCCAATTAACCAAAAGACTCAGAAAGTAGAACTTCATCCTTCTGTTCCCTTTATATTTTGAATTTAGTGCCATGTTCTAGTAACGATGGTAGGGTTGGACTTGATGATCTTGGAGGTCTTTTCCAACCTGGTTGATTCTATGATGATTCTATACTGAGAGAGGAAAAGCTGCATTCAGAGCAAGCCTTGCAGCCCGATTTGCTGGGAAGCAGGAATTTTTGGGAATTATACTTGTGCTGTCTGACCAGACTTCAGTGTCATGTTTGATATTAGCTGCTTCCTTTGGGTCCTGATGTGTGATTGAAGTTTGCATGACATCTGGCAGTTCACTTGGACTCCTGCCTGAATTTTCTGCAGACCCTGAATAAAAATAGTTGTTCCTCACATCAGCAGCAGCTTGGCCATAATGCTGCAGAGCAGTCACAAGTGTTTGACTTCATCTTAGCAACCAAATTGAACTTTCGACTGTGACTAAAGGCAATTTGAAAGGACAAACAACAACCTAAAGCCAAAAAAAACCCCAGGCAAACTCTTTTGCTGTGCAAGCTAACAGAAGCCAAGAGAAAGTACTTGCCTGGAGAAGAGAAGGTTGTGTGGAGACCTCAGAGCAGCCTTGCTGTAACTGAAGGGGCTCCAGGGCAGGTGGAGAGGGACTTTTGGTTGGGAACTGCAGTGATAGGACATGAAAGGACAAACAACAACCTAAAGCCAAAAAAAACCCCAGGCAAACTCTTTTGCTGTGCAAGCTAACAGAAGCCAAGAGAAAGTACTTGCCTGGAGAAGAGAAGGTTGTGTGGAGACCTCAGAGCAGCCTTGCTGTAACTGAAGGGGCTCCAGGGCAGGTGGAGAGGGACTTTTGGTTGGGAACTGCAGTGATAGGACAAGGAGTAATGGGTATGGTATAAACTCCTTAACGTTCTATGGAACTATAGATGTCTCAGAATTCAAGGATTTCTGAATCCTTGAATTATATATTTTTTTAATTCAGTTCTGTCAAAATTTTAATGAGGTGCAACCATGACAGTTCAGGGCAGCTCAGAGGGAGTGAATTGTTCTGTCTCTAATTTTGGTTTCTAGTGATAAGTGAGTTTATCTAATGACCTGAATAATGTAATATGTGAAGATGTGAGAGTCTCCTGAATATGTTTTCAGAATATTTATGGTGTTAGTTTAACTTGCCAACCCCTACTGACATTGAATTGCTGGGAATGTAGTGACTGAGTTTAGATTTTCCAAGCTGAGTGCACCTAATTGGATCCAGCTTCGATTCAATTATCCTTTCACACTTATCTCTCCTGAATATTTCAACCACTTAGAGACTTATTGAATGACTGTGTTGGTGGATTTAGATGTTCATTTGAAAGAGGTCAGAACAGAAGGATGAAAATTCTTGTAGCAAGATTATCTTCTGGCAAGTGTAAGTATAAAGGGCAAGTACTTAAAATTGCTTCATTTGTTTAAGATTAATTAGTTTCCCTTACTCACTCTGGCCAGCTACTGTAACATGTAGCCAGCAGGCAGCATCAGAGAAACAGAGGGAAATATTAGAAAGTATATGCTAATACTGAATTTTCATCCCAGCTGGAGGGAGAACCCCCAGGACTTTCTGATTCAGAGGCGTCAGTTGTTCAGATTGAATTTCTGAGCATCAGCCATTTCCACAAATTCATCTTATGCAGCTATAGCTTAAGGATTAGGTTGTTTGGCAAACTAAAGCTTTCCCTGGGAGGTGGAAGGGAGAGAGAAAATCAGGAGCAAGGGTGAGCTGCAGCAGGTACTTTGAGTTCTTCGTTCTATTTCTACAGTTGGGACTGTTTCCCTGGCACAGAGAAACCTCAGGTTAGCTAAACAGCGATAGGTAACTTACCCTCGTTGATCAGAGCCAGTGGTGGCACTCTGAAAGGACTCTTTGTAGGAGAAGTGGCTGGGTCAGGTGGTGGCCTGACATCTCTGTCCCTGGGGTAGCCTGGGTCTCTCTGTATCTCGTTCCCCCCCAGGAGCACAGGAGTGTATGGTTGGCTGTTAGGGATGTGCTGCGGCACGACTTGCACCAGAGGAGGAGCCCCGTGAGTGTCCTGGCGCGAGAAGATTCGCAGGCACTGCTCCTCCAGCAGGGAGATAGTCACAGACTGGTTATTTACAAGATCAGTTAGTGCTGCATATTTAACCTCCAGCTCCTTGTACTTCGTTGCCATCTTCAGCATCTCTGTTGTAACGTTAAGGACTTTGTTTTCCAGCTGGGAAAGCTCCAGGGAGTTGTCACGTTTCCGAATTATCTCGTGCAAGAGTTGCATGTACAGTTGGGTGACTCGAGAGTTCATGTTTCGGCTTTCTTTCCTCAGTAATTTCACTTCATTCACTATGTTTCCATCCACATCCACCACCAGCTGCAAAATGTCAATCTCCCTCTTTTGCTTGGACAGCACATCCTTCAGGTTCTCGATGTCCATCCTGGTGACTTCGTCCTTCCTGTTCCCAGCTGGTCCGTTAGTGTTCACACAAATTGGCCCTGTGATTTTCTGTTCTGGGACCAAGAAGGTGTAACCACATTTTTTCCCTTCCTCTCCACCATCTGCTGCACGAGGGTGTCTCCGTTGGGCCGTGGATTGCTCCGTGCAGCGCCCGATAGACAACAGCAGGAACAACAGGACACCCAAAGTCCACTTCAGTATCTTCATTTTAGCACAAGTGTGATGACTGTCAGGAGACTGTGGAACAGATAAAAGATAAAGTCATTCCATTAGAGCATAAACTAAGGCTCCTGGACTGTGAAACAACCTAAATGATTCACATAAATGCTGGAATTTGGAGTATATAAACCTTTCTGGCCCTCTGTTATCTCTATATATGTATGATTTGTTAGATACTCTGTGTATACCTATTTATTTATACACCCATTTCTCAGCTTTATATCTACAGAGGTTTAGTAGACATAAAAAACACATCTGTAAGATGATTTTTGGACATTAGGGAGGAGATTTGTATAAGGTAGTTGTCTTAAACATTGAATATTACTTATTCAAGTAACTTTAAACCTGTGAGGAAAGCTTAGAGCACTGTTAGTCCCTGTTAGTAGCCTTGAGATGAACATTTCAAACTGCTGTCACACTGGTTTGGTGTCTTTGAGAACACTTTAGCCAAATAACACTGACGTGGCAGATGTGTTACCACTGTAAATACTGTACTGAAGTGTTCTGTGCATCTTTTAAAAGATGTGTAAAGAACGAAAATGCAGTGATAGAGGTCCAGGAATGGGTTTTGAGACCTGTTTTTAGGTTTGAGTATTTGAGATTATAAGCAAAGGTAGCACTTAAATCAGGGAGAAGCCCTCATTTTTTATGGTTTGTTTGCTTTGTGAAGCAGATCACTCTTTTTATCTGAGCTGTTCATCTGCCTTTCCTTCCCAGACCTCTTCTACAAGCCCTTGTACAGTGACCTTGGTGTAATTACAGAGAGACATACAGGAAGAGCAGGGCAAGGTAAATTTGAGATTATAAGCAAAGGTAGCACTTAAATCAGGGAGAAGCCCTCATTTTTTATGGTTTGTTTGCTTTGTGAAGCAGATCACTCTTTTTATCTGAGCTGTTCATCTGCCTTTCCTTCCCAGACCTCTTCTACAAGCCCTTGTACAGTGACCTTGGTGTAATTACAGAGAGACATACAGGAAGAGCAGGGCAAGGTAAGGTAAAGAACAGCCACCCTGGAGGAGCAGCAGAGCTGTGCTGCTTCCTCTGCATCCACATTCACACGTGATGAGGTGACTTTGGGGTCAGGTCACTTCTCCCAGGTCTGTTCCTGCTACAAGTGGTGTCTGCTCAGCCTCATTAACCTGCCAAGCCTTTATTTCTCACCAAGAGCAGTGGTTGCAAGCTTCAAACCTCACTCTACATGCAGTCAGGAATGAGATCTAGGAATCTCCATCGGGAATTAGATCTAGGAGTCTTGATCAAATGTTCCAATGTTGCCTGAGAAATAACTTCTCGTTTGGCTGATGGTTGTATTGGAACTGCTCCTGGGAGGGCAGGAAAACACTTGGACTCAACACAGGCTGAAAGTCATTTCTTACTGGAGGGAGCACATAAAAGTTTGAGGAATTTACCATAGGAATCTCATTTCTCTTAGTTTGTAGCAATAGCTGTTTTGGTGTCTTACTAGTAAACATGATGTTTTTTCCAAACACAGAACTTAAAACTTTTGTTAATAT